CAGTTGAAGACATGCTTCTAAAGGTGATGGTAGTAAAGTGAGATCTTCAGTGGTGTTTCCTAAGATGCTACACTGGTAGGAAAAGAAAAATCATTTTCACAGAATTGTAGAGGTTCATCTCTAAGAACACATTTACTTCTGGCTAAGAAATACATAGGAGTGGGTCTGAAATTTAAGAAACTTCAAAGTAACCTGCACTGCAGCATGGAAAGAATGTTAGATCTTATGAATTTTAATAATTCCCACAAGGACAAATCACCTGATTCATTCAATGATTTCTGTGTTCCAGTTAATGTCAAGATGCAGGCAATATAGCACCTTAAATTACTGATTTTGACATTTACTTCTGTTTTTAACAAAAACTCCTTCGTTTTCCCAAGAAATGTCACAGGAACAAATAAAATATTTTCTTCTAAATGAAAGATGTTTCATTTGACCAGACAGAAGTGGATTTTTTTCAGCTATTTGGCAGGAAGCAGGAGAATCCTCAGGTTTATGCATATTTATTTTTTACTGCAGTTTGTTTGCATTTTCCTTCTTTGAACTCTTTCATAGGTGACCTTCTGAAATGTATTATAAGTCCAATTTGACAGTTAGAGACAGCATATAGCTCCAAAATCTCTTCTTCAGTCCTCATGGGACAGTATGTAGGACTATCCTGTCCCTGTTTTCACATACAAAAGCTTTAGGACCTCTCCCTAGAGATGTTCACAGTGTGCAGTTAAATAGGGGTGGTGCATAGATCTTGCCAATTTGCCTGAATATTTCAAACAGAACAATATTGTCTCTGGATTTTAGCCAGGGAAATAATTTAACTTCTCAGAGCAGACAATTTTTGTCTTTGGCACAGTTGATACTCCCTAAAGAAATAAAAAGATCAGCCTGTGAGCTATTGACTTAGAAAAAAGAAATTATTTTAACAGAAGTGTGCTCCAGTAATGTTATTTTTAATGGGTTTGATGACAGAATTTTTCCAATTCTAAGTTTATGCAAAAAATACTCATCTGGGCAGATATATAACACCAAACATAATTCCATATTTAGGAAATACATATTTCCATAAATAATTGACAGAAAAATCTACCAATTGTTCATAGTTTGTTGCAGATATTCCCATATATTTATATATTTTATTACTTTAGTATCTTTTTTAAGATGAAAGATTTTATAAAACTGGTCACTACAAAAGAAATGTTCACAATTTGCTGTTCAGTTTCAGGTGTCACTTGTTTATAAAGTTTCATCCTTCATAAATTTTGAATTCATGATAACTCATGAGCTGAATACCAAGATTAAAACGGTAACACTAACAGTCATTTCAGGATTCAGCACAGTTTATACAGTTTTATTTTTCCCATGATTGCTTATTGCCAAGCACCCCTTTAATACCTGACCCTGCAGTAGGGCACTCAAGTGACAGTCACACTAGGCTGGACATTGAGGCCACGTGTGGGCTGTTCACACTAAACACAACTTGGAAATGTGTTGTTAAACTTTAAAAATATTTCAGGTCACAGTTTCAGCCTGACCAGATGCCCAGAGAACTTGCAGGCATGGCTCAGGAGTTAGCACAGGCCATTGACACAACCAAATACACTTGGTACTTGTATGCAAGTACCCATGCTGTCAGTGTCTGCAAGCTCAAAAGGTGCAGGTTTTTGGGGTCAACTTGCCCCTGCCAGAGAACAATCCTCTGCATATTTAACTTACTAGCCTAGCTGAAGCTTTAGAGGCAGCAGTACAGCTAAACTAATTTTCATGTTAATCAACAGTGGATGAATTTCGCAAAGATGAAAGAATGAGCCCAATCTTTACAACTCAGTTCACTTCACACTTATATTAATTTCCTCTTTCTTAAGTAACGGTTGCAGCATTTACTGTTTTTAGATCCTTGGCAGAATAAAAGCAGGTGAAAAGATCAGTGCATCTTATACAATTTTTTCTTTGAGATCCATAAAAGCTGTATCTTTGCATTGCTGCTAATTCTCAGTTTTCAGATGCTGTCTCTCTATTGCAGCGCAACCCCAAAAGACACAGCCGCCACATAAATGATGCATAGACCAGGCAGTGATACGGTACAGTGAGGGAGAGCAAATATTGAGGCAAGGAGGAGCTGGGGCAGGAAAAAGGAGGGAAGCAGGAAATGCATGAAAAGCATGGCATACAACATAGCAGAAATCAGCTACTTTGAAGTATTAACTGTGACAGGAATCACCTGAAATGAGTTCTGCATCATCTGCCAATTTTAACATATGTCCTATGGGACTTCAGCTGGAGCACTGAGTCAGCATCATACTGCAGTCAACCACACTCTTCCCCACAAAAACTTCTCTCCACGTTCCACTTGAGGGGAAACCCCAGAGAGCTGACAGGATAAAAGCTTCATGGAATCTCGGGAACTTGTAGGCCAGGGAAAAAGGATCAGCCTGACCGTGGTGCGTCATGAAGCAGCTGTTGTTGACAGTAGAAGTCATGGGGTTGGGCGGTGGAACAACTGAGAAGTAAATCTCAGTAAATTTTATTCACCATCCCTTCTTTCCAGAACTCTCACTGTTTTTTCCTCCTAAGCAGAGACCGCTTTAACCCGTGGCTTCTCAGTAATACCCAGCTGAAAGTCAGGCACCTGAAACAGTCATGCTGTTCTTCCAAATGTATATGGCAGTCTAGTGTAGGCATCAGGAGCATAATTCGTCAGACCAAGGCTGGACATAAATATCTGAATTAGCTGTCTAGACTCCATTTATCATATAATGAAAAGGCTGTTTCTACAAAGTGACACACCTCATGCTAAAATTGGTTTCTGAAATGAATGATACACAAGAAAGTGCTTACTTCTCTCCATCAATAGCGAAGGGAGTTCAGATGTGCACCAGACATGGTCACAAGACTGCAGACACATAAAGTTAACAAGGTGAATCTCAGTCATTGTTGCTACATATAAGGAATAAAATAATCCATAAATTAGACTATCACAGTCTAAGGTGCTTTGTAGCTGAATTAATACAATCGAAGTTTCATTTAAAAAAAAACATTCCCTTTCCCACAGCATGGTTCAGTTTCTATTTAATATAGAAAATACTGTTGAAGGAAATATTACTATTTGTAGTATTGCTCTTGAGTGTCCATTTGACAAATCGGCACTTACCACAGCTGAAACATAAGATGTTACATAGACTTTAGGCACAGGATTACTTAAAATTTGTGTATTGCTAGAAGTAGGTGTCAGCTTGCTCATTTCTAGGAATCAACTATGCCTCCTTGCCAAGAAGAAAGCTTGTAGTACCTGTAGACTTTTGCTTCCTCACAGCTTTTTGGGAGCAGCCTCTCCTTGCTCCAGCCTAAGGCAAAAAGCAGTCATAAGCAGTGGTGTTCTGGGAGACTCACACCCTCATGTTTTTTCTTCACCACATTAAAAGTGTAAGCATGGCCATATGTGTCGTTTCTGAGTTTCCCAGAGCAGAACAAATTTACAGTGACATGTAAGGAAAGCCTTCACAATAAAGCCTTATTTCTGTGTTTATCCACAGGTACGAACCACAAGATTTAACAGGGATGTAGAAATACCCATCTGGATCACCCCAGTGGTCCTTGTAACCATTTTTCTGACTTCAGAAGTGACAGCATGATACATTCTGTAGGGCAAGTATGTGAATGACACATGAAAGGGAAGAGTTCCTTGAACCATTTATATTTCTTTGGTCTGTGGGTGCCCCAGGAAAGCTGAGACCTCCATGCCTGCCCAGTGTGCCAGTGTCCCATATGGGGACTCCACTCATCAGTGTGCTGTATTGGAGGGCAGTCTGGCTGACTTTCTCAGGGACATGTGCTGACAATCTATCAGATCTGAATACTTTATAAAAATCTAGGAATAGGAACCTACTCCTGGATCTCCTCACTTTTATCAAGTACGATTGCTAGCAGCCTTGAAGGACACACACTAAGTAGTTTATGGAATAACACAATTTATCAATAAGGAGTCTGATAATAAGAGATTGTGAAAAGCTAAGTTTAGAAGATTGCAGTTGATAGCAAAAAACAAATTTAAAGCAATAGACAGACAAGATGTAATCAACAATGAAAGCTATTTTGAGGTAATCATTCAGCACTCAGAGAGTAAGTTTCTTCTTATCCAATAAGCGTTCCTATGGAGGAGAAGACAGATAAAGCATTGTCAGTTGATCTCAAAAGTTGTGATGGAGTCTTCCATAACTTCTTCCCATTCTTAACTTTCACACTATTTCTTTAAATTTTGTGTGGACCTTAAGTGACTCCCATCATAATACCTTTGTTACTGATTGGTGTAAAATTCTCCCACTTCGCTCTTAAATCCCAGAATCCCATAATATTCTGAGTTGGAAGTGATGCAGACAGATCATCGAGTCCAATTCTTACACATATGGGTCTCAAACCCACAGCTTTGGTGCTATTAGCACCATGCTCTATGATCAGGAAAATATTCAGCACATGCCCAGTGCGTGGTGGTTGTACCTCGGAGGCAGACACAGCTGAGGTGTGTTAATATGACAATTAGGTTATAACAAACCTAGTTCATGCAAGGAGAGTGATTTTGCCACAGTTGCTGGTTCAGCAGCAGTACATCTGCTCCTGTCTCCCCTGGCAGGCAGGTGCTATGCACTTCATTGGCCACATGATACCTTCGAGTTCCCCTCCCTTCAAGGATTACAGCAGAGCCTGGCTGACACGTCTCTATGCTCTAGCTTCCATTTCATCCCTCTCACCACATGCTTCACGTCACAGGCTGAATGTGTGGAAAGTCACTGTGGAATAGGTTTCATGCTTGCCAACCACATTCCACCCAGGAAGCAGCAAATGCATTTCACCCTATAAGTTCTGTACTGTTATAACTTTCATTACAATTTAAATACATCTCCCCAGTTTTCTCTAATTTCAGCCCAGTCCTCTTCCTACAGTGAGTTTACCATTTTCCACAGTCTATTCCCTCTTGTACATTCTCAGAATAAGATAATTTCATTCACAAGTTGAAATTTGCTATAGTGTGACCTCCTTACCTTTTCTACTAAGTCACACAGGGATTTTATTGGAGTTCTTCTTTCTTTTTTGAATTGAAGCAGTTTACCATGGCTTATAATACAATATTTGCAACAATATCAATACAATAATAATACTACTGTATGAGTCCTGGAATACTGAAATAGTGTTTAAAACATCACAATTGTCTGGATATATTTCCTTTTACCTGACCCCCAGACATTCACTGCAACCTTAAATACAGAGCATCTGACTCAGCTGCTCTCTCTCTCTACAACAGTAGAAGCTGCCTGTCTGCTGATGGCCTTTTCTCTCTTTCCTCAGACACCTGTCAGCACTCACAGCCCTCTTCCTAACATAGCATCCTTTGGCTTTTACTTAGACTTTGAAGAGTAAAATGTTCTTAGTCTGGCAGGTTTAGTCTTAGTCTGACATATTCCACGACAAACAGCATCCTCATTGCATTTTCAAGAATTCATGTTGCCATCTTGCTGGCCCTGTTACATCTTCTGTTTGGTTTAACTCTCTGTGCTGAGGAAAAATAACACCTTGTCAGAAATGGAGTTAAGATATTAAAAATATTACACACAATTGTCCTGGTTTTTATAGGCTGAAGGTTTAATGGCATTCTACATCAAAGGATCTTGCTTACTGTGAGGATCTCAGCTTTCACTGCAAAAAGGGGAAATATCTACCCCTCCCTATTGCAAAGAAAACCTTGAAAACATTATTGCAGTAACAATAAAAAATTTAAAAGTCTGGAGTCAATGTGATATAAAAGGTAGGTTCATGATTTTTATGATTATACATTACTTTGGTGAGGGCAGAGGGAAGGGACAGACATTAATTATTCCTGAATGTTTGCAGGGGTAATACTGGTGGTGGAAATTTAATCTTTGGAAATGCTTTGCCATCAAAGACTTTGGAGCCGTAACAACAGCATTTTCTCCTGAGTTTGTGTGAATATGAGTAGTCCTATGGTCTCATTTATTCTCTCTGCAGATTTGGGCCTTGATCTTGAAAGCTATTTATTTTGTACCCCTGAAAAGTGCTGCAGTGATATGCAGTAGTGGTATGCACAGGTAAGAAGCCCTGACTGTGCAAGATGACAGATCTTGCAGCTAAGCAAACTGGGTGCAAAAATTCAGAGATATTTAGTTCCTCTATATTAAATTTGCCTTTATAGAAATTGCAGTAAGTCCAAATCCTGTGCTAGTAAAAAAGGAGATTACATAATACAAATTTCCCGTTCACTAGTTGTCCTTTACTCCAAAAGTCAAAAGATGCACCTCCTCCCACACTCAGTCCTGGCGACACACAAACACCAGCATGAAAGTAAAGAGAGGGATTTTTATAGAAAATCTGAAAGGTAGATACCTTCCTTTCGATTCCATTAGGTGGAGCTCTCAGACAAGAAGAAATGAATGAAAAAACCAACCCAGCAGAGGCACCCCCAGGAATTATTAGTACTGTACTATGCGGGTATTTTTCCCTGCCGAGAGCTCTCTTTTCTTGATAGAATTCATTTGTAATAAGAACTCTTATTACATGCTTTCAAAATTACTATAACTCAGCAACCTGCCTCTACAACTAGGTTTTCTTTAGCTTAGCACATTACTGAGATCAAGCTGCAAACTTGTGAGGTGAAGGCTGCATCATTGGTCTCAACATAAATAACCAGACCGAGAAGAAATAACCATGGAACAGGAAAGAAGAGCAGATAAAGAACTTAAGAGCAATTTATAAAAAACAGAACATTCTAGTAAGTTATTGACCATTGACCAGTGATAGAAGTTCACTGACATTAATGGTGCAGGATTCAGCTGAAAATGTTGTCATGCAAGTACAAGGGCATAAATCAAACAAAAATGGCAAAGAGTATGCATCCTGATTTCCTGCTGCTTCCCCATTCTAGTTTTGTTTTGATCTCATATTTAGCATATGCATTCTTACAAAGTTTTGGAGAAGCTCTCCCAGTCTCTGCACAGAGGGAAGGATGAAAATAATCCTATGTAAAGCAAAGGACAGAATGCTGGATGCATATTTTCATGACTATCGGCTCTTATACTACTTCTTTGTTATATGCAGTAAATTAGAAATGTCAATACTTTTGCCAAATAAATTCCTGCTTTTGACAAAATTGGGAAAATAAATGTTATAAATGTTGTAAAGAATATTATCTGAATTATCAGAAATGAGCAGAGATTGTCCAGATATACACGGAAGGAAGGAGTCTGAACTGTTTCCTATTAGATTCTACACCTTAGTTAAGAGAAATGATTAACTTAATTTAATCAATTTAACTGTGATCAAATCTTGCTTGTTTTATCTTTTATGAAGGCAAACATGACACATTTGTAACTGAGAATCTCAGTAAAGCTTAGCCTTTCTCCTAAATTTATCCTTGGTTAAAAATATGATCATTTAATGACTTCTGAGGTATGATGCTGGAAGGTGGTTTGTATTTTGTGTTTGAATATCATATCTGGTCCCAGATTTTACAACAAAATCTTCTGCAGACAATTGAACAACCTACAGGTCTGTTCCATTTTCAGACTTTTTAAAATGTGTACTCTATTGTACCAAAACAACCTTTTAGTACATTGTGCTAAAATAAAAAAGCCAACAGTGCCCATGAGACATGAGAACTAGCAACTTCATTTATGTGTTGAAATCAGTTGGCCTCTATATTTGACAGGCTTTACTTTTACATGTTCCTCTAGATTTGCTTCATCAGTGTAAAAAGAAACCTTCTCTAAGTATTACAGACTGCTGCAATGTAGGATGGGTGTCTTTTCCCAACACTGAAGCTTTCTCCCTCACTTCCATATTCTGCTCTGCACAGTTCCTCAGAGGAATGTTTTGCAACAAGGAGTATCTTTCAAGCTTTTAATTTTTCCTACACAGGCACCTCCCACTGACATTAGAAAGGGGTCACAGGTCATATCTGACCTTTCCTTCTTGGCACAAACGGCATTGAGCAGGATTGTTCTGGTCATACTGGGCAAAGAGCACTGCTTCTGGTGCTTTGTAGCTTCCAACAACTTGTTTCAAATGCAGAAAGCACAAAAAGCCAAAGCATCAGGGGCACATCTAATTTTTACCTCTCCCCTGCCTGCCTTCAGGATGGCTTTAATGACTACAGCATGGGTAGGCAGTTTTCAAGCTCTTGTCTCTGAATCTGTTCCCCTTTCTGATGACAATACATATCTGTGCTTTGATATGCTTCATCCTTGGTCACATATGGCTACTCATACCCTCTACTGTACTTATCCTGAGACCCTTACCTCTAATGGAAGGAGTTATTATTATCCCTATTTTATGTCTTCAGACTACATGATTTCTTTAGCACTATCTGTGGAGCCTAGGGCACAGTAGGAAACTCAACCCAATTCTGATGCATTCCAGCTCTGCCCATTGAACTACACTTCAAGATAAGGTGATGTTACACAAAGAGAAGAGCGTAGGTCTGATTTAAACTTCAAGTGTGGAAATGTAGGTTATGGCAGTCTTACCCCGCTTTCGTAGATTCCAGAGAGAAGTAAGCAGGAGAAGGGCCAAGATGGTGCAGAACTAAAGTATTTTGGTGCCCCACACAAAGCCTCTGATAAAGTCCTGTAGGTAGAGAGCACAGCTGGTAAAATCCATCTGGCTAGGCATGGCAGAACCAACATGCCCATTTTCCCAGTGTAAACCAAAATGCTCTTTCCAAATCTGAAACTTTTCCACCAAGAGCTTGCTTTTAGCAGATAAATATTTTTCCTTGGAAATTTTTCAAGCAGAAAATTCTCAACAATCCACTATCTGAGCTATTGTGACTAGGTTTGTCAAAATCTGTGTGATAAGTTCTGCTGTGCAGCAAACCGTGCTTCTTTCACAAAAGGCTGGTGAGGAATGGCAGGATGTTACTTCTCAGGAGGCAGCAGGCACACAAACCTTCTGGATGTGTCTCCTCAGCTTGCATCTGACCCACGCACCCAAAGCTGAGCAGCCCCTTTGAAAAGGAGAGTCTGAGAAGAGAGCCAGTGCACATGCTTTGGGCTCAGAAGGGAGACAGTGTGATCTTGATAGGAAAATAGCATTTACCCAGCCAAAATCCTCATCTGTTACTGATCATGCTGCACTGTTATCTTTCTTTTCTTCATGCGACAATCAGGCATGGTGCTTTGAAGCGAACATAAATCCACTTTTCCTGACTTCTTTGCCTATCTTTTTGAAAAGTGCTCAGTGCTTGTACTGTGTATCCCAATATGGTTTCTTTTTGTATATCTGTTTCAGAAAACACACCCCTACTGCAGCACAGTGCAGCCTATAGCAATGAAGAAGAAAAATAATAAAATCCTTAAAGACAGATCTGGCATTCTGAGTGCTATACTTGGGTCAGATTTGAATCTGAAAGGCTTCTTTGGACCACCAAAAAAATATTTTCTCCCAGTCTCACAACAGATTATTGGAATGTTAGAAATTTCTTCTAGTAATTGTCTGTGAATAAGTTGAATCAGCTGAACTCATTATACTTCTTAAACCAAATTTTTACTTGCTCCAAATAAAGTTAATCTCCTATTTAGCAGCAGTCTCCTCCTCCTCCTAAACTTCATTAAACCTTATCCTGTCAGTGTCTTGGCATCCGCTAGTAAAACATAGGTGCTTTGAGAGGCTCCTGAGATGCCATGATAAACAAAGCTTCCCAGCCCAGTTACATGTTTCACTCAGTGCTGATCTGTTCAAAACCTGGTAATCCTGCACATTTGTTTAAACAAGTGGTTCAGTCATGACCAGCCCTGACCTACTTTTCTCAATGCCTTATTTGTTGCACACACGTTTCGGCTTTCCGCTGACTATACTCCAAACACAGGCTGCCTTTTGCCCCTTAGAAAAAATGCTCAAAGCAATGTGGGCCCTGATGAGGGGACACCAATGCCACTCTGCTGCACAGAGAAGAAAGTGCAACATATTGCCAGCACCCATCAAACCAGAAGTACGAACCTGATCCTCAAGCAAGCTTGGGATTCATTCCCCTTAGCTGGCCGGTTTGACTTCTTATGGCACGGAAACAGAGGAGCAAGTGGAACATAAATATATATCAAAAGTGTTCGTAGACAATTAGGTCAGAGATAACTCCTTTGAACCTCCTTTTTCTTAACTTGCTTGCTGAGTTTATTCCAGGTTTTCAAATTCCTGTTGATAAAATTGAAGAACAAAAGTGCAGCTGGGGTTTGTGCAAGTGGCAATTTTACCAGTACCTTCATCTCTAAACAGCTTGACTTTTCTTGTCAGGGAAGCAGATCTGTCAAATCGCATGTTCCTCTCCCTAAGATCCGGTAACAGTTGGCTGATACCTGAAAAAGGATGATATTCAAGAACATGCAGTACTTCAGTCACATTCACAACAATACAGCAATGCAATCACACCTACTTTCTACTCCTCTTGGACAGAAGAATTGGGTAAATCACCCAAACCTGGGCAGTGAAGCAGTGCCACAGGCAGGAGTACGACTTTCCCAAGTCTCAACCCCACCGTAAAACCACAGAGACATATAACTAGCTCTTTTGGTTTCTTAGAAACCCCAAGCCACTGTAGCAGACAATGACATCAAGAATAAGTCCAGCTGGCATCAAACACAGCCTCAGCTAGCTACAGGATGAAATTCAACCTGGGGAATACAGCGAATATGGTCCTTACGGCCAGACCATGCCAGTTCCCGCATCGTCACAGAAACCATCTTCCCTCTTTTTCTGGGATGAGGTATCAGATTTGGATCAGAATAGGCCCAGCAGTGTGTGAGGGAATAACACAAACACTACCCCAAATACAATTGCCTGTGTCACAAGTCAGACACCCTGAGAGAGGCCCAGGGGGCCCCTAAGCTAACCCAAAGGCAAACAGATCTGTCCCTCCATCCTCTGCTGTTTTCTCCCCTTAAAACATAGGAGGGCTTGTATCTGTATGTTCAAGAGAGTCTGGGAAAGTAAACCCAACTGATTTTCTGCCCCAATTTGAAGCTTTGATTTGATAAAGATTCCATCCTTACAGCCTTGAGTAATTTTAGTTACTTTTTCTTGCCTTTCTTTTCCCAAACACTCTAACCTGGAAAGTGGAACTCCAGTACCCCAGGAGGGTATTACTGACATGATGCAGCCTGACAACATGTAACTCCTGTCTCCATCCTGCATTTCTACTCACAAGTATTCTCTAAAGAACATTTTCTTTTCCCAAAGCTTCGTTGTGCCTAAGACTCAGTTAATCTGTTCTTTATTGTGGCAAATAAGAGCTTTTTCTTCTCCCCATAAATGACCATTATTTTATACCTCTACTTGCTGTGAATTTCTCCAAAATGTAAACTCTTACATCCCCTTACAATAAACTGCATCTTCTGAATAGAGCATATGGATTATGAACTCCTGTGATTTTTCTCATTACTTTGGTTCATCCGAACAGCTGACCAAAGGGAGGTCCATTAATTAAAGTATCTGATAACTCAGATCTTGTTTCCTGGCTCACTCTTTTGAGAGGGAGATTTGAGCTGTTTGTTTGATTACTCTCCATGCTGCGTGCTCATGTCTGCCCAGGCTTTTATGTTGTGTCCATCATCATGAAATGTGAGATGGTTGATAATTCTCTTCTAGTTCACAGAACAGATATTGTCTCAGCAACTGTGCATTTTGGCCTAAAAGGCAGTACTTGAAGCCTGACATGTAATCTATGGATTTGTCCAATCTAATTACTGCCACTTCCATCAGTGTTTTTATGATATAGACATACATCCACTCAGAAAAATCACTAAAGCTACAGAGGTAGCTGCCAGGCAGTCATTCCATTACTTCTGGCTTGGAAATTATTTGAAAGATGCTATAGAGTTGGAAGGCTCTGATAAGCATCATCAGTCCCTTAAACAATGTGTTTTCTGTTGTTTCTGCTCACATTCAAGTATTATTTTAGTAGATTAGACTCAAATTTTCACTAATTTAACTTTACTTTCTTGTGATTAGGTAAAATTCAGGTTTTGTTGAAGACAGTAAGTAATAAAACTTCTACAGCAAAAGCTACTGAATATATCCATTTTTAAGATAATAGACTGAGAGTTGGGGTAAATTAACATGCATGGAGCACTGTACAGCAATGCCAGACAAACTGCTGCACTCAAGCTTGATTGTTCACATTTGCCTTTAGTGTTTTTAACATGTGTGACCCTCTTCAGTGCAGTCACATTCCAGGAACAGCTGGCCATGCGCACTCACTGGGCATCTTAGACATGTTTCTGACACTTATTTTCCAAGGAATTGTTCTGTACGTCTGAAAATCATTCTAAATGTCTTATGTTTTTCTTGGATTTAAATTTCCCATGAAGCCATTGGAAACTCGAGAGATGAGAGATCACATTTAGAAATTATCAGTCTCTATTTGACTGTCTGTGCCAGAATTGCCTCCAGATAACACCAAATCACAAGCCTTTCATTAACACCCCTGAAATTATATGCAAAAACAACTTCCCTAAAAAAAATAAAGGTATTAGGCTGGTTAAATGCATTAATAAAGGAATTAAAAAATGTGATTTATTTCAACCTCATCAATGTCCTGCCCAGTCTGCTCCTGTCCTTACTGAAAGAGGGAAACACACTGGTTTTGCATTGCTGCCAATTTTGGGGTTATGGTGAGAGAATATTAATAGTCACAACTTCTCCAAGCAGCAGTGTCTGTCTGTACAAGCCTTATCCACCAGCACACACCACTGGTTGTTTCCTTGTCAAACACCACAGCCAACTCCCAGGGATGCAATGGCTTCGGATCCCCTCCCAGGCCAGGGTCATACCATGAGTCCTCAGGATTTGCTCCCATTAGTGGAATCTAGGGTGACATAGACTGTCCAAGCCTGGGGATATAAAACTGACCCTGCCTTTCCAATAGATTTTAGCAGGTCTGAATAACCATCCCGGCATGAGGACCAGAGGGCCAACAGGGAGCAAGAATAACTTCATTTCAGCTAAGATTGCTAGTGAAATTAACAAGAAACAGCCCAGTCTCCTTGTGCCATTTAAGCCACACAAGCATCCACATTAGCCACATTAGCGTGGGACTTAATTTGGGCATTTAAAGCTGCCTGCATTATGTTGTGACTGAGTTTTTTAACCCATCTTTTCTGCATGTTCTTCCTTGCAAATGTATATTTGATGCAGCACATTTTCAAAGGGAATCGAGGAAGAGAAAACTAAAAGCTGCATGTATTAGTATTCCTGTTTAATTTAATATCAGCTTACTAGGTGGAAATTAAAATGATTTTTCTGTCACTGTTATCTCTCTTCACTTGGCAAAGATTGATTTCCTTCTTCCCTGCTGCTTACTAATAAGACATCTGAAAACTAAGATGGTTTTTATGTTTACTTCTTTGTTTAAATCAGCTTTCTTAACTAAGGACAGCTTTGGCAATATATCTGTTGTTTAACTTGTGATTTCTGTGTTGGCTCAGGCTCCATCAGTGACAGAACATCAAACTCAGAGAGACTATATGTTTTTAATTACTCAGGGATGCCCTCGTGCATAAGTACATGCAAATTAAACAAACGGATTTCAAAACCGGTTCAGAACAGATTGCACATTACACAATCAATCACATTTTGGTTTCAGAAATGATGGTGCATTATTTTGCTTCTCCTGTTGAAAAATACGGTGGTTATCAGGCATCCCTTGCCACTGCTACTACCACTGTGTCTGGCACTGCCATTTTTGGCACCACTTTGTTGAGAGCTGACAAGCCAATGAAGGCTGATGGCAATGCACAAACGCTTGAGTGTGAGAATCAGCTGAACTACTCTGCATGGAAGGACACCTTCCTACAAAGGAAATGTCCAGCAAGTGGATTAGAAAACATTTGTCTCAAATAATAAGACATGAGCACCCAGACATCTGCTTTCAGAATCTAGCACTCCTTTGAGTTGGAAACGATAAACTAATGAGCACAGTTGCTGTTTGGAGTCCAAGCTGCATTGTATGAACTTGGTACTTGCACCCTAGCGGCAAGACAGTTCTAAATGCATACATTTCAAAAGACAAAAAAGGTTCAGTGAAAATTTTTCAGGGCAAGGTGGTCAAAAAAGGTGGCAAAACAGCCATTTTCATATTGCAGATGAGGAACTGAAGCATTAGAGACAGAGGTGGTGTTGTGGGTATCCCTAAAGAGCTAACCATTCCTCCTGCACAAAAAAGCTGAGCTTTTTAAAAAAGGTGAGCAATGTGTCCTGCAACACATTCTCTTGAAATAGTATCTCATACCCTTTAGACAGTTCACTGTATTGGAGGCCTCCTTATTTAAGATCCTAATATTTCTCTTTCCTACTTTCTTTCCACTCCATCTTAAATCCCCATGCTCGGCATTAATAACAGTTTTTCCTCTAGAGTAATTGTGCCTGTTATACCTATATAGCAGTATCTTACCTTCTTCCTCTCAAATTTGATTATCCTTCATTTATCTGCATTTTCTGTATTGAAGTTTAAGTTTTTCTTTCTCCCTCTTGATAAAGTTGCTCTTGTCCTTCTTGGGGGATGGTGTCTCAAGGTTTCTTACAGCCCTTTTTTACACGGTTCAATGATGTTCTTCGGTGTTTCTGTATTTTTGATCCAGCTGCACTCAGAACTGAAATACAGCAAGAACCTTCTGTGAAGACACACCTGGTCTGTCCCCACTAGAGATCAAAGGTGGCAGACCAAAGGTGCATTGTACCAGAAGCAGCTCACACCACATGAGCAGCCTGTGTCCCACCTAGGGTGCCCTCACCTGCTTGGGTGACCTGAGGAAAGGGTGCCTACATCTCTGGTTGCCTCGCAGTGTAGGGCTGGTCTTGGAGCACCTGGCTCCTCGCCTGGAAGCCTGGTCCTGATCAGCTGTGCCGGGCAGGCAGGCAGGTGTCTGGACACACTTCGGGTGCTGAGTGCCAAGGTTGGTGTGCACGTGATGTTCTGCTACATGGACACTTCTGGCGCTGCAGAACTCGGGGGTGAGTTGAAAGCTAAACCAGACCTGCTGCTGGGGGTGAATATGCAAGCGATGCTCTTTCATCCAGTTTCCATCTTCCTGTCCTGTTTTCGTGCTATCTGTCCTTGTGCACCTTTGGTGCATATGCCAAAGGCCAGAGAGCTGCTGGGGAAAGCTTGGCAGGCTGCGACCCATGCCGACCTGCCTGAATAAAAAAAAAAACAAAAAAACCCTTTATTTTTTCGGAGGTGGGGAGGAGTGACCTTTCTGCTTAGAAAACGGAGGCAAGCCTCAGCCATCCTCCCCGCCGCCGGCCCCCGCTCCAGGTCGGTCTCTGATGGAGATGCCAAGTGCAGGCGGAGGGGGTGGTCAGGGAAAGGAAATCCCGTTGCCTCGCACCCCGCTGCAGTTACAACCACAGCACAGACCCCGGCCGGAGGGGCTCCCCGCGACGCGGCGGCGGGAAGCGGGGGGACCGCAGGAGGCGGCGAAGGAGGAAAAGGAGGAGNGCGGGCGCGCTGCCTTTGCGGCCCCACATTGGTATGCAGGCGGTGGCTGCGCCGCCAGGCAGACCTAAAAGGTGAGCCCAGGGAATGGGGGAAAGTCGATGCTTCATCAGTCCAGGGACAAATCGGGAAGTTACAGAAAATGAAGGGAGGATGTCAGGTATCCGGCCGCTGCCAGCAGGCAGACTTCGGGGAGGGGATATAAAGCAGGATGAGTTTCTCCTTTCTAGAGCCAGGTTGATGGAACGAAGTGGGGAAAATGACAGAAAAATGTGCATGGGAAGTTCTGGATTGTAGCCTTCCCTGTCTGGTCCCACTGACACTGCATTTCCTACATGCTACTCTCTCTAAAAGGGTTAACACTCAACGGTTTAGCACATGCTCAAGCTGGGCAATTTCAAAAAATGTTGATAAAAAGTACACAATTGATGAACATGTACGTACTGGCTGTGCTGGGACACGAGGGGACGTATCCTGCACAGCTGTTTTCCCACCTGAGAGAATTTGTTGTTGGCGATTTCTGCTCTTACTGATCGGTTGTATTGAATACCCTGTGCTGAAGCGGAGAGACAGCAACACATTGTGTTTAAAGTGGAAAAGACCTGCTGAAAGAAAAGTGGTCCCAAACACTTGGGCTGTAACTGTTTGTGTCCTTGACACGCAAGCTGTCAGGAACAGGAGCAAACTCCAGCTGCGTGTGTTATCCCTGGTGGGATGTATTTGGATGCCGCAGGGTTGTGAGTGCGTGTACACGGTGGGGAAGAGGAGAAAAATCAAATTCGTGTTTCAAGCGGGGGAACAGGGACCTAGCCAAGTGTAAAGTGTAATAGTGTGGTTTGGGGTGATTTGGCATTGAGTACTGGTGACAGAGAGCTCACCTTTGCAACAGGGGTCTGTACGTGAAGGAAACAGTTCGGGAGGCGATTCTCTTGCCATTTTGGTTTGTGCTTCTGCCCAGACTGTATTTTGAAGGGTTTTTGACCTGATTAGTTGATCAGACATGACATTACCGTTAACACACACTACTAATGTGATTATAACAGCAGTGACATCAATGTTTCCTTGCCCTGCAACTACAGTAGCAATGCATTTGTTTACTTCCCGCATGCATGCTCTGAAATGTCTGTTACTCAACAGCTCTGAACAGCAAGGGAAGAGGGAGGAGGAGGAGGAGGGGAAAACTTACAGACATTTAAAAATGGCTATAGCTCTGTTTCCCTTATGCATGTAATGATGTGGAAATAAACCACCTCCAAGACCTCTTCATCCTTTTGGGTTTTTGTTTGTTTGTTTGTTTGGTTGGTTGTTTTTTTTCCTCAGTCTGTACACTTGTTTTTACCTAAGTGGCAAAAACCTCTTCACACTTTGACATGTCAGGTTGTGTCACATGTTCCCTTCCGAATTAAACAGCAGGGCACACCTTCTGCCCCTCTCCCGGCTGGCAGGAGCTAGCGGGTGAGACAGTTCTAGAGGCTTTGCCATTTAGTGTTAATTATTTCGCAGTAAACCAAACTGTTATTTATAGATCTGGATGAAATGTGGCAAATTAATGCGTTTTTCAGAAAACTTTAAATATCAAGAGATATGTGTGCGGGTGATTAAATATCTGAAGTGTTGATATGACCAAACATATTTTGTATTACCCATCATAACTGATGTTAATCAACTTAATTGTAGAAGCCATGAAACAGTCCCTTCAATTATTGTCTGATCACTAGTTTTTTACAGCTGGCTCATTATTATTTTAAGCATATTGTTTTTAGGAAACAAAATGTAGAAAATTGTTTTTTAATACCTGGTTTTATTCTAAATAAGTTGAATATATAGGTTTTTATATATAAATATTCATATCAGATTTGTATACAGTCAAATGGGTATTTTCCAGCCTAACAGAACTGAAACATAAGCAGAGCAATGATTAGCAGTATTGAATTTGATTTGTAGTTGTAGTCACAGATGTGCTGGCTTTGGTTCGATACTGTGTGTGTTCATTATCATGTATCAGCAAACGTGAAACCCTAAAGATCTGAAACACACCTTTTCCTTTTCCTGTGATGCCTCATAGAAGGGAATGATATCCTGGCCTTGCTCAGCTGTGTGCGGAATTTTGCAGTCGGTTTTGACAGAGACAAAAATATATTGGCAGATTAGCACGTGGGTTTGTAACAGCGTGATGTTACTAAAGTTGAGAGAGATATTAAAACTGTGAAAAGGGTAGAATTGATTACAGTGGAATACCTAGAGACCTTATTTTTGTAATTATTTACTTGTTTGCTCAAAAGTTTGGTGATGATTTTATTTCTCTTTGGTGTTTGTGCTCATGCCCCAGCTCAACAATTTTCACCATCTTGCTCTCTCTTCACGTATGGTAGTGTTTCAAAGGTGAACTCTGAAATATCACCTGTTACTGAGATACAGTGCATCAGGCAGATATAGAACACCTCTAAGTATTTTTTGCAATAAGACACTTTGTAACATTGTGAGTAGAGCTTTTGTTTAAGGCAAAGACAACTTGTTATTGTGTTTCAACTTGAGCCAAGAGAAATTTCTTACAATATTGCAAATATTTGTAATTTCATGGTCTGAAAGTATGTTTTTAGTCCAAGAGCTACTTAATAGGCTGCTCAAAAATTGTGTTAAATGATGTTTCAAATCTTTGCCTTTTTTGTGTGGAAAAAGACTGTGAAGTTACCGCTGCTTCATCAGCAGAAGTGTAATGAATTTTATGGATTAATTCCTACTGCAAGGTAGCATGCTACAGCGTGGTCCTCGCAATCTTGTCACATCAGACTTACACATGCAGTTTGTTTCTGGATAAGTCATTCTTTACTCCACTCTTGGTCAGGCAAATTCCCTGCAGATTTATTAAATATTTTCTGTAAGTCGCATGTAAAAAGAGTAACTGGGCAATAAAAATCACAGATTTTCTTATTTTCTGTTTTCTTCCATATAAAATAGATTAATAAAAATCAGTATCTTCATAGTATGTCCTCTGTGCATCTTATACCATTTCCCTGAAACAAGCTTAAAATGAGCATTGAAGATGATTCCAGCATAGGAGGGTCTCTGCAGAGATGAAAGGTTAGCCGAGGGCCTGGGATGGACAGTGCTGCATCCTCGAGATGTCCCTGTGTCATACGAGTGCTCAGATGTACTTTTTCCCCTCCAGGTGAGTGTAAAGCAGAGAGCCTTCAAGCTACTGTAAGGCAGGACATGTAGATCTGCCCTATGCAGCTCCAGCCCCATTTGTTGGAGTGCCCAGTCTAGGATTTCTAGGTTTTCTACTGGCTGCTCTAAGTAAGGTGATGATTTTGTGGTTGTTCCTCACAGTCTTAAAATCGGTGAGCCTTAGATCAATGGTAATGTGACAAGCACTTGGCCCGATTTGTGTGTTTATAAACAGCTTGGAGGTGGGATGGTTGGGATCAATTAATTAATTAATTAATTGTACTATTGATGCAATAATTCCAACACTTGAAACCGGCAGGGCCCTTTAAATGACAAATCTGGGGGCAGTATCAGGGAATGCAGTGTCGCTGTGGCAAGTGTATTAAACCTGCAGCCTGAGCAGGCCATATCTTGCTTCTTGCTCCACTAGGATAACAGTCTTGCATCGGTAATGTTAGTACAAGCTCTGTGGGTAAGGAGCTATTGAAAAGGTGGAGTAAGGGAGCCACGAAAAGCAGGCACATTCGCTCTTCACCTGAAGATCCATCTCTGCTCTGGGTGCGGTGTGCCATTAGATTCTCGCCTGGCTGCTCCCTCCCTTCTGCATGGCACCGCGTCAGGGCTGCAACTGGACATTCAAACACACGGGAAAGTTCCACTGCATTTCTCAATGGATGACTTTTCCCCCAGTTTTTCTTCGATGCATGTGTATTTTCTCCTTTTCCTTCTAAGCATTAATCCTCCAACCTATGCCTTAATGCATAGTGCGGTTTGTAGACAAACTGCACAAATTGATTTTCCTGAATTGGGCTGACCAAATGATGAGTGTATTGGAAAGCAGCACACACTTGCCTATTTGTTGTTCTACATCAAGCTAGTTTTTTTGTATGAAATATCCTAATATCTATTAAAATAGCTTTAAAAAAATTGTGGGTTAAATACGCATTGCCGGTATGGTTCATGCAGTTACATAGCAGCATCTGCTCTTGTTAAAGGCATTCTGATAACTTTTAAAATTTTACCCAAGTGAGAAAATGTGAGCTTTAGCTTGGAGAGGCTGGCAATACTGTGTGCCGTTGAGAATTGCATTCTTATTTTGAATGTTTTGATATATTACTTCGGAATACTAAAGATATTTACTAAAGATATTTACTAAAAATAAAGTCATTAAATCATATGTAAAGGATACCAGTAAGGTGACATTCAGACATTCAGAATTGAAGAGTGTTTGAATGTGGGTTATGGTTGCAAAAAAGATATGGAAGAAGTTGCCTGTGACTGATGAAGACAAGGGATTGGGAAAATAAGGAAGAATGCTATATCAAGACAGTAGAAGAAACACTCCAGTGTGTTCAAATTTTAAAAAGTGGAGCTAATGTGGAGTAAAGTGAGAAGCTCAGAGTGCAAAAATTGCCACTTTCCTGTACAGAAACTGTATGTATATATAAGTATACATACATACATATGCCTGTGTGTATATATATATACATTTGCACAGTCTATGTCATCGA